CACCACACACTGACCGCTGCATTCATATACCCTCGCACACCACTGATGCTCACAATCACACCTCATGATCCTACTTTGTTTTAATAAATAGCGTTACATGAAAATTGAACCCACCTGTGTGTCTTCTCCTTTGTTGCAGCCGAAGAGCCAGTCGTAACAAATTGGGGGCTCGTCCATTGTGAATTTATTTAATTTTTGTTGTTTGTGGCTGAGGAGACTGTTAAGCTGTCCTTTGATGGTTTGGGATCACAGAGGCATGACGAGGTAAGTGTTGAGCCAAGTGTGCATGCTATTGTAGAGGGGGTTCCCTTGCTAGGTTTAGCAGCGTTTCCCCTTTGGGTTTCGCTGGGGGGTGACTTGTAGTGTTGAGGTATGGTGGTTGGAGCATCCTTTTTTCCTCTTTCCTAAAGCTGCTCGGAAGCACATCTCTGGTTATGGGGGGGGTTGCCAGTTTTGTGGTCGCCTTTTTCAAGCCAGCAGGCTGTTGGTGCATAAAAACCCACCGCCATGCCTCATGAAGACAAGGGTGAGTTATTTAGCTAGTCCTGGTGACTAGGCAGTTAAATAGAAGGGAACCTTCCTTTGGTGTGGCTGTTTAGGCCTTGGTGCACGCTGCTAAGCCTCAACACATTACTTCATCTTGCTGTCTTGTGTGTTGATGCTAAGTTGAAGCATGGATGACTTTGTAAAAGCGTTTGTGGAGGCACGGTGTGGGAATTGTATAGATGGGTGTACAAAGGATCAATATAAAAATCATGATCCTACTTTGCTTTAATAAATAGCGTTATGTTATGGTTGAACCCACCTGTGTGTCTTCTCCTTTGTTGGAACCTAAGAGTCAGTCTTAACACATCTAAGATATATTTCAGAAATATGGTCTATGTTGACTTTTCAAGAGACATTATGCTTGGATTACTGAATTACTTTAACCAGAACCAAGAGATGCTATTATATCAGTCTTGCTTTACCCTCATTACACTACCTCCCAGTATGTTTCAGACTAGATTTTAACATCATACTGATTACATTTAAGGCCCTTCATGGCCTGCTATATCTGACCTTTTCGTACAATATACACCAGAATAAACTTGGAGATCCTCGGGCAGAGGTTCTTTGTCTGTTCCAGGGGCCTGGCTACAAACTAAAGAGGATGGCACATTTTCAGTCAGGGCCCCAGAACCCTTGAACAATCTGCCTGAGAATACCAGGTTGGCAGAATCAGTCATCTTTTCTTAAAACATACTTTTATTGAGGAGACTTTGACTATATTACCTGAGTTTTAATCTACTTTAAACTGTCTTTAATTTCTTTCTATATTCTTTTTTATCTTGTCTAACACTATATTGTTTTTACACATCATGTTGTGTTGTAATCTAGCTTAATAATGATGATTATGACTGTGTCTGTTTTATGAAGCACTAGATTTTTGTACCTTTTGTAATTTTGTACCTTGGATTTTGAAAAGTACTCTACAAATAAATTTGAATTTCATTTTTTATTTGAATGTTATAGCAACATAAACTGCATGTGATAAATGCAAGGTGCTATACAGCTAAAGTATTATTATTACTATTTAATATTAATAACAATGTTCAGCCACAGTTTCACAGCCACACAGCAGCTGCAGGTGTACTCGGCCCCATTATACATACACACACAAAATAAATAATGAGCACAAAATACACCACGTAACGTCTCATCAGCTCTTTTTTTCTGGAGTGTTTGCAGAACAAGTATAAATAAAGTTGCGAAGAAAAAAAAACGGCGTCCTGTTACCATAGTGACACGTACACTTTGCGGCGAATAGCGTTGGCAAATTAAAGATTTCTTTCGGAGGATAAACTGTTACTAACCCACACTGAGAGCTGCTGATACATAGAAAACTGAAGTAAGTGACTGTTTTTTATGTGTTACAGCTAAAACAAACAAACAAACAATAAACTAATGGCGTTTTTTTTCCCACCACAGCAAAGTGACCGTTAGCTAGCACCATAGTGCAGTGAACTGTTGTAGGAGCCTTCAGAGGTGCTAGCTATACCACACACCACTGTAAATATATCTATATAGTAATATGATATTTTTAAAAATGCATATCTTGTGAACAAGAACAATTTTGTGTCTTTTGGTAAATTTGGCTCGTCACACATGAAGACATCACGCAACACCATCATGCTAACATCAGCTTAGAGAAAAAGAGCATATTGTTGACTGCATGTCTACATGGAGCTCTTGGATCAGCTTTGACTTGTGTCCTGTATTTTCCACAGAATGTCTTTATCCAGGAGTCAGAGTCTCAGAATGGCAGCTGCACTGGAGGACTATTCACCCAAGCTGGACAAAGTGGGAGATGATCTGACAGAACAGATCAGCACGGAGCCCGCTGCACATGTGACTCCACTGTTTATTACCTGTTTGTAGTCACAGCCCAGAGCAACATCTGTCAAACAGCTGTCTGGTGCTTTGATCTGATGATGATGTGAATGTTTTTTTTAAAAGCTAGGGTTATTCTCCATTTCATGAGCATGACTAAAATCACATGTTTGTGTGTAGGAGAAAGTCAGGCTGGCCAAGCTGTCAAGAGATTGGTGAGTAGCACCAGGGCAGACAAAAAAAACATGATGCCGTATCAACTTTTTCTCTGACTTTATTTCTCTCTCTGTAGTCAGTACGTCTCACTACAGATGTCCACGCTGTGTTTGGAGCTGGAGGAGGAGCAGAGTTTCAGCTCTCTGCTGCAGGCTGTGGAGGAAGAAGGGCAAAAGCAGAAGGCTGAGGTCAAGAAAAGGTTCATAGCTACATTATTTTTAAACAGTATTAAAAATACTAACTTAAATCCTTATAGGAATGCATAGCGAAACAGTAAGTGGTGTGATTTCAGAACAGAGGAGTGTAACTTTGGAGAAAAAAAAAAGGCAGAAATGGGATAGTTTGTATTGCATCAGTAATGTAAGTTTCTGTCCTTCCAGAGAGGCAAAGATGGAACTGGTGTGTAGAGCACAGACTCTACAGAGGAAACAGGAGGAGTTCCAACTAAAAACTGAGAAACTGAAGGTAAGAAAATAAGAGCAAATCCTAAAGCCAAAACGGTTTTTATGAATAGCTATGAGGGATGAGTGAAAATCTACTACTGTGGGTGAACTAAACCTTTACTTGAGAACAAAATCAAACCTATTCAACGTGGGGCCCAATACTCACTGCCCTCCAGGATGTGAACGAGTGTTGCAGAGACCTGATGAAACAGCACAAAGAGATAAGAAAGATCACCAACATAATGAAGAATAAGGACAGAAACATTGAGCTGCAGCTGCAGCTCCAGCTGAGACAGAAAGAGACTCATCAGGCAGAGAAACTGCTGGAGGACCAACTGGAGGTGGGTCCCAGTGTCCATCTAGTCCACTTCAGTGTGGGTTAGTCCGACCAACTCAGCAAGATATGACAAGTGTTCTTACATTTTTGCAAGTAACAGATCGACACTTTAGATTCCATCGTTGAATGTTGTCTAATTCATGTTTTTTCTTTGTCTTCTCCTCTCTCAGCTGCTGCACAAACAGTTGACGGGGGAGATGGGACTTCATCAGGAGACTGAAATATTCCTGCAAAATCAGCACAAGGTTGCTACAGCAATATTACTACGAATATCAGAAACTGTTATGCAATCGGTGGTGTTTTGAGGCTGTCATTAGTGTAGCTGCACATCAACACTTAAACCCCAGGGCTGTGCTGCCAGAAGCTGTGGTCTAAACTGAGCATATGATTTAGTCTAACACCAGCTCACTGTGCGTGAAATCCCCTCAGTGCCATGAAAGGTGACTGTACCTTATAATTAAAGGTTCAATATAGTAAAAATCAACTTTTATAGTGTTTTGCATGTATTCTAAACATAGAATTGTAAAATAAAAGCTGTGAAAATATGAAGATCCTTACTTCTGCCACTGTTCCAGTCCGCCCTCAACTAGACAGCATCCCAGCGTTACAAACCAGAAAGAATACTATTCAGTTTTTACAAGTAACTGGGTAACTACAAGTTGTGCAGCTAAAAGTGCATGTAAGGCTGTCCCATCATTGCTCCTTATTTCAAGGTAAGTGATTCAAAAAGAGCAGCTTCCTCACAGTTCGTCAGGTTTACTTTCTTGCTAAAGCTACTTTGGCTAACTCTAAAATGCTTCAGCCATGAGCAAAGCACACCAAATGCTCTTATGTTGACTACTAAAGTGAACACATCAGTCGTCATGTACTCCCAACATCTGAGGAATTCCAGCTGCAGTGGATTCCATTTATTTTGAAATTTTCTTTTTTTGCCTTTATTTATCAGAGCAGTGGAGACAGAAAAGGGGGGAGAATAATGTGGAAAGACCTGCAGCGAATGGCCGTGGTTGGGAGTCGATCCCACAACCGCTGTGAATGGGACTGTAGCCCCTATTTGTGGGGCCGCTGTCTTGTCCAGTTGAGCTACTGGGGTGCCCTGATTACATTTATTTTTGAGCAAAATGTCCCCACGACAGTTGGAAAATCCTTAGTATTAGCACATTGCTTGGCTAATGGATCAAATGTTACCATTAGTTTTGATTGTATGTCCATAGGTCAGAACTTTGTGGATGCCTGTGATGATAAAACATGCAAACATGCATTGTGCTGTATTGAGTTAAACTGAAGGTGAAAATTCTAAAGTTAAAACCAGGTTAATTAACTGGTATGCCAATACAAGTATTCAAATTCCCTGATTTCTGAGAATATTGATTGTAATCAGAAGTAACACAGAAACAGCTCCGTTTGGTTTCCTTGCTAGTATTGGCTGTTGGTTTACTTTCACTTAAGTTATTTTTTACTACAGCAGTTAATCTTTTGTTTTTATTACTGCCATTAAAGCTGTCGATCGTATTATTTTTATTAGTGTTATTATTTACCACGCAGAAAAGCTAATCTTGTATTATTGATCAGGAGCTGCAACAGCTGTTGGATGAGTGGGAGCAGCGCACGAAGGAAATGCTGCATAAGACGGAGAAGCAGCTCAACACTGTCTGCTGCAAAAAAACACTGAACTTCGACAGACTAATGGAGTTGAAGAGGCAGGTGAGCAGTACTCAACAGCTGCCGATGCTGAACAGCTCAATGTTAGATGAATGCTAATTAGCTACTGATTTCAGTTCACGGAGATGGAGCAGGTGATAATGGAGGACAGGGAGGAGCAGAAGAAACTACTCCAAAAGCAGGAGGAGGTCAGAGCTGCTACCAAGGTAACAACATCAAATCAGAGCAGTGATGCAAGAGCTTCACCAATGCATTTCACAGTCTTCCAGATCTACCATGTTGTTGGGTTGTTTCATGTATTAATCTCTGTTTCTGACCCTGATTTCTGACCCTGCAGCTGCAGGCCTGGTGGAGAGGCTGCATGGTCCGGCGAGGCCTTGGCTGTTTTAAAAAAGCAGAGGAAAACAAGAAAGGCAAAAAGAAGAAAGAAGGACAGAAGAAAAAGAAGAAGTGATTTTGCTCTGCAGCTGCAAGGTGTCTCGGTGGTTAGCACCATTGCCTTGCAGCAAGAAGGTCGCTGGTTTGCGTCCCAGTGAGGACACCGAGATCTCTCTGCGTGGAGTTTGCATGTTCTCTCCGTGCAGCGTGGATTCTCTCCGGGTTCTCCGGCTTCCTCCCACAAAGTCCAAAAACATCCATCCATGCAAACTGGAAAACCCGGAGAGAACCCATGCTGCACGGGGAGAACGTGCAAACTCCACACAGAAAGATCCCGAGTGTCCTCACCGGGACGACCTTCTTGCTGTGAGCAACAGTGCTAACCACTGCTCCACCTTGCAGCCTGTCCAAAAACATGAAACTTCGCCCCAAGTCAGCTGGAATAGACTCCAGCCCCCCCGCGACCCTAGTGAGGATTTAGCGGTGTATAGATGATGAATGGTTGGATTTTGCTCTGGAATACTGCTTGTTCACATTGATATAATGTACATAAGTACAACAATAAACACTAATGCTCCATGTGAAAGTTAACTTCTTTCTTTATTACAAAGTCTTAAAACAGATTCTTGTCATTTCAAACATGCAACAAAAGTCAACTCATCTCATACAATGCTTCAGAAGAATTCCCTCAGATGGTATCAGGTTGCATATCAGTGCTGATAATGAACATATCAGCAAGTACAAGAGAAGCATCTTTAATCCAAGTCTTCTTTTTCCATTACTATGTACAGCGTGTCCTGAATGAAAGGTCAGACAATCAATAAACAATATCAAACATAAATATGAAAGAAATCCAAATGACTTCCAGCAATGAACACTACTGGGTAGTCTACTGTCGACTGACCATAGGCCATACATTTTAAGCCTTTATCATGATATGATAGAGATTTCAATGACAGACACACAGCATCTGTTTGTCTATGCAATTGCCCAATGTATAGTGAGCCGATACAAAAAAATTAACAGCAATTTATCTTCCTTATCACACCACTGGAATTCAGTTACAGAGAGATGAGTCATTAGAAACTCAGAACAGTAAAAAAAAAAGTCCTGCTGCTCGTCCTCACATCTGACAGAGGAGCAGAAGTCCCATCATTGCCAAACAGGAAACACCCTGAGGGGAGAGGATTATTTAAGGAAAAGGTTTTGAGGGGCTGACGTTTGTTTGTGCGTACTGGAAGTTTTACAACACTGGAATGATGTTGTGCTTCAAAATAGCACATGTCAAGTCTGCAAATGTAAGAGTGATTTAAAGTCTGTCCAACTGTGACTGGAGCAAAAACAGTGATGTCAGTCATATTGTCTAATGAAAAACTGTTCATTTCAACAGACACTTAATCAGCAGTGGTTAATTCAAATATTTCACACACATTTTATTATGTTAAACTGACTATCTTGCAAAAAATACTTCACTGCTCTCTGATATTTCAGGATCAAACAAATAAGAAACTTAAATGCAACCATAACAAATAAAATATATATAAAAAGTAAATTAAATAAGTGAAGCAGATAGAGACCAAAAATAATTGACCTAATGTTGACTTTCACTTCACTTACTGTCCTTGTGATCCAAGACTACAGTGTTGCTAAAGTGTGTAGTGTGTGACAGTGTGTCAGCTCCATGTGGCCAAAGTCCCACACTTGTGGTCCTTCTGTTTCAGTTGAATGGCTAGCTCTGTTCAGCGTGCATGTAGTTGTCGTCTCCAATGATGACGCAGTTGAGGTGGGAGCTGTGGATGCTGACACTCAGATGCTCTGCTGACGGAGGGGGAGGCCAGAGAGGAGGGGGAGGAGGAGAAGGAGGAGGGGAAGCCGTCTGTGCTGCCTCCTGCTGTCCACAGCTGCAGCTACACCTCAGCTGATCTTTAACAAAAAACACCAAGTTAGACATTTGTACTTCTCATGAGTGCAGCCTGAGTGCTTTGATACAACTACAAACTACTACTGTGTTTGGTACAACTACGGCAGAAATATGCATATACCACAACACAGCACAATATAATATAAAGTGCAGCTTGAAATTGTTGTAAGAGACAGTTTTGGCTGTTACTCACCATGCACGTGAAGCTTAGATTCATGGATCAGAGGCTGACGTTCTGTCACAGTAGATGGATAGGTCTCATTTCCGATGACACAGTCAATTAAAGTGGAGTTGCTGATGTTGAGGATCAAAACGGTTGATGGCGGACTCCGTAATGCCACTGTTTGTGAGTGGGCGAGGCAGAAAAAGGGGAAAAGGGAAAATGAGAATGGGAAGTTGCTGTTCCAGTGTGATGTAATAGAAAAAACGTGACACTGTCAAAAGTTTCCTTCAAGTTCCAGAGTAAAGGCTGCTTTCATTAACTGCTGATATGTGAAAAGTCACAGCAAGATATTTTTTATGCCTTGTGTGAAAATCACTTAATTACACAACTTTAGCTCAAATTATTCTTATTCCTGTAGAGCATCTACACATAGAACTAGTTTGTGCCAAACTGTGGCACAAACTAATTTCAGGCTGAGTCAAAGCTGTACTTGTTACATACAAATGTGTGTGGAAAAATGCCAAATTTTGCTTAGAATATAAGGAAAATGAGACAGGAATAAGTCAGACATTTGAAGAGCGTTTACTTGTAAAGATAAAAATGTCATGCAAAAAGCTGGGATTACCTTGTGTATTTGTGTCCTCCTTGGGTTGGTCAGTTGGAGCTGTGAAAGCAGTGACAGTTGAAAAGCCACATCTTTACGAATGAAAAATTGTCTTTTGGCAATATGAGTACAGAGAAAGTGACTATTTGAGTCACAAAGACCATTTGTGTCACAAAAATGGTTGATTTAATCATGCATATGCAATAATGTGGACAATGTTTGTAAAAATTAAAATCATAGAAAGTGATCTTACTTGGGAAGCACATGACTTTTTCACATGACAGAGGTTTTAAAGGCAGGCAGAACAGCTGACAGGCGCTTATGAAGCTCTTCTGAGCCATCCTGTGCATCACCTGGACGATTCGCTGCATGCTGTTAGATTTATAAGTCACCACCTGGAGGATGAGAGCAGACGTCTTTGCTATGATGCTCTAAACAAGAACAACACCTCAGTTAGAGACACAGCCGGGGGACTTGAGGGGACTTTTCCTCCTCCTGTAGCCCTGCTGCTGCTTTGCTAGGTCACGTGCACTCTCTTGCCGCCAGCAGACAGGTGAAGCGGGGATTTCTGTTGTTGTTGTCAATAGAAAACGAGATGCGGAAATAGTGATATGTAGGAGACTAAAGTTTTATCATAAGTTGAACTAGTGGCAAAGTATTACCACTTTAGAAAATTAAGGTTGGGGAACTCTTTGGTATTCTATCTACTACAGACTACATAAAATAGCTGCATGATAAATACAAGAGAAACGTACCCTTAACACATATAATACGTTATGGTCAAAATACTTCCAAATTATCTCACCTGATTCAGAGGCGTTCTTTCTTTCATCTTTTCAATATTGCGGTCGTTAAAAGGACGCGGAGCGTGAGGGTCAGACTTGCTCATCATTCTTGTAGCTGAGATATAATCGCTGTGAAAGCCGCCAACACCGACACATATAAGAGATTTCTGTAGAGAAAGCCCCCCGCGCGTGCGCAGTTGATCTTGGGTTTTCCCTCAGATGGACTACCGGAGAATTGTGATCTGTACGAGAACTCTGATAACATTACATCACCCTGTGTAGGTTTGCAGCTGCGTTTATTAAACTGCAAATACTGTCTACCTGGGAGTTTGTGGGTGATAGTAAGTAATTTTGCACGTGACTGGCACAACAATAGTATAGGAAGTGCTGTTATTATAAGTTTTGTCTTATGTTAAACTAAAACTGTCTCTACTATTTAATAAAGTTCCCTCTACTCGTTCTATGAGGATGCAACCTTCAAAACACCTTTCAATGTCAGCTACACGCCCAAAATACGGCACATAACGTTTCGATTTAGTGCTAAAATAGGCTAAAACAATGCTGTTCATGCCTTGACGTCGCTATCAACAGTGACCTGTTTTGCACTGAAATATCACAGCGAGGTGGAAGAAGTGATGCAACTGGCATGCATACAGGTAGTGGTGTAGCTGCCCACAGAGCTTTCTAGAAAACAAAGTAGTGAAGTCTTTAAAGTGCTATACATTTGAACTCAAACGATATGATGGAAATCAATACAATTTAGAAATCAATGGTAGGCCAGTGTGCTAAAGAAAAGAAAACTTATTGGGAGACATACTTCAGCTGTTGATTGCCATGTAAAAAAAATAAATAAAAGAAAGACAGGGGTATGGCAAACACAAACACACACACACACACACATATATATATATATGTATGTTTGAATACATTAATAGAATATGACCCCACACACACACACACACACACACACACACACACACACACACACACACACACACACACACACACAATGTAAACAATTTTGGGGAAGTATTTATATCTGTCACTTTCGGTACGTTGTTGTTTTCTGAATGATATGTTGCAATTCATGCCTTCCTCTAGTATGTGCCGTATGTTGATTGGTTGTGGAGTCACAGCCACTCCCTATCTCAGATGTCTTCTGTTTTGTATCGACACATTTTTCTGATGAAAGTCTGTCACCAAAACTTTGCGGAAAAAAAGGGTTTTTGCAGGTTAGACAGTGTGTGGGAGTCTTTTTAAAACTAAGAGACATCAAGCACCCAAATGAGGGATTAAAAAAATAAACTGTATATACAAAAATACAACTTTTTTTTTTTTTTTTAAAGGCCCCTGTGATTATTTATCATCCATCACATTGTTAGATAGGTAGCATTTCACTCTACAATTCTACAATTCTATAATTTCATTAAGCAGATGCCTTTATCCAAAGAGACATACATCTGAGAGCAGATACAACACAAGCCAGGATCTAGTCAGGAGAAAACCATCTAGATAAGTGCCATAGAACAAGGACAAGTGTGATAGGGTGTTGATGCCAATAGCAGGCTGTGTTGGAGGTAACAGGAAATTATTTTTTTGTTTTGTTTTGTTTTCAGTCTGTCAAGTGCAAAGGTGTAGCAGCCTATAAGTTGAAACAACATTTGAACTGTTTTGTGAGTTTTAACCAACTTTAAACTTGGGTAGTTTATACAAAGTTTAGTCCAATCAAGCATCCCCACCAAAGAGTCACAAAATAAATCGGATGGGTTGACAATCATTAAGCAAGAACAAAAGAAACAAAGAAAGTTCCACTGTACAAAAAGGTCATTAATTTTTTTTCATTAGTATTTGCTTTGTTATGATCTTTTTTATTATTCTGATAACATTACTTAGAATAAATGTACTTAAGTAGCAAACCAGTGCTAGTAAAAAATTGGCAGACTTCCTTTCAGTGTTTCTAAAATTTCTTCAGCGTGTCCAGTTTAAAAGTAGTCAGCTGGGGATGCAAACCTTTTAGTATATTATGTAGTGAGAATGTGTTTTATTTATTGGTGAGATTTGGTATTAGTGTAGTCAAGACATTTTATGAGAAGGCTCTCTGTGGCATAACCCACTGCAGAGGTTGGGTCATCAATCCCCAACTCCCAGGAATGTTGTTTAAAACGTTCAGCAGTCAAGTTCACAACTTTAAAGCATTTATAGATGAAATGCCAAGTCAGTAACTGTGCTCATTGGTGAATTATATTTGATCAGCATAGGTGCCAACCAAGCCCTGCAATGGAAAGGCGACCTGTCCAGGGTGTCCCCTGCCTTCACCCTGAGACGGCTGGGATAGACTCTAGCCTCCCCGTGACCCTAGTGAGGATTAAGGTGTATAGATGATGGATGGATGGATGGATAGTTGCCAACCTCCAAACAGCTTGTTCTAAATCAGAAGAACAACTTAACCAGCGTGTCTGGGGCTCTTTCTCCAGAAAACTGTTGATTTAGGAGACAATTTTTTTTCTACAGTCTAGTGAATTTATGGAGTACCTTGGTTGCCAAAATATGGAGTCAGGAATGTGGGCGCCTTGTTATGTTTTGTTTTATTTTAAATGGGACAGCAGGTGGGGAAAAATCCTAATCAAAACTGACAATAATAAAAATTTGACATTTTAAAATAAAGTCATGGATTGTCCTAAATCAGAAAGAAACAAACACATGCATTTTTCTAGATTAGTTAGATTGAGAGTGCTATGAAAACCTAGAATGCATAAAGAAGAGAGATTGGATGACCTGAGACTGGAGATTACTATAAGAATAGTTGCTATTTGAAATTGTATTTATACACTACAAAACGGTGGCAGGTTGTGGGCTTATATAGAATGAAAGAATGTTTTTTTGTGTGTGTGTGTGTTGTTTTTTTTTTTGAATGATCACACGTGGTTGAACAATGTTACAATACCAACAACCTGAATCAGTGTAATAGCCTCATAACAGCTACCATCCACTCCCAACTGTCTGTGCTTCTACTGGTCGCTATTCTCAGAGCGCGTCCCCGTAACCAGAGACACACGCAGTGCTGTCCTACATGCTCTTTCTTGTCTGTCAGGGTCATCTTTTCATTTAAAATTTTTTTTAATTTTTTTTACTTCATGAGAGGGTGGAACAAGTGTCATTCGTATCAGGTTAGTACATGAAAGCTGAACATCCTGAGTCAAACAGCAAGGAGTCACTGCAGCATCATCATGTATGATAAGGAGATATGAATTTTACTTTTTATTTTTGCTAAACCGGAGTGAGACACCCTCCTATAGTAACCATCAGAGGTCTGCCGGCGTGATTTAGTCATATGAAATTTTCGAGACGTCAGAAAACTTGACTGGACAGACTTTGAACTCTCTCCTAGTTTTGTGTTTCATGTTGATAGATCACATAAAACTGTGTTATGAACATGTATGGGGGAAGAAAACGTGTTTAAAATGCAAAATATGCACCGCGGGCGTCACATTTCTTTCAACATCTTCGTCATGTTTTGTGGTTTTACAAAACGAAAATCAAAGAAAGTCTGTGGAAGTGCAGGTCCTGTGATGTAGCTGTCTGCCTCATTCTGGACACACACTATATAAAAAGAGAAAGAAAGCCACATCTTTTTTGTATATAGTTGCAAATATTTGTAATTAGTTTGATTTCAAATGTACCTTTTAATGTTCATATCTGCAGCCTATGTTTATTTTCAACTTTCAAAACGCTTCGTTCAGAATTTTATTTATTTTTTTTTTTTACAGTGAAAACATTTTTTTCAAATCGGATGTTATATTTTTTGTGTGTTATTGAGTCCAAAATGTTAATATGTTAGGTTAAATTGAAAAAAAAAAAACAGTAGTCAGATTGTATAGGTGATGTTGTGCTGAAAGATACCAAACATGGGCCCATCGAACATGTTTCTATGAAGATAAAACTAAAAGTATGCTGCCAAAACAGGCCTCTATTTAAGAACAATGCCTATTTTCTTTTAAAATGTATGCATGTTGACTATCAATATCACACATACATAAGAGGACACAGGTTTAGAAAGTAGCCTAATTAAATTGTAACAGACTGTCTACAACAGAAATGCTTAGCTAGCACAAGCTAAGAGCTAGCATTGCAGCAGGTTAACAGAGCATATCATTGTTAGTTCAGCATAAAGTCAGCTTATTTAGACTTTGACAAACGGGTCTGTGAAGATTCTCAGTCATCCAGGTCATGGTTGATCTCATAGAATAATCATAGCAACGGGACTTGCTTGAGTTCCTTAAAGACGTTTCACCTCTCATCTATGCTTCATTCTGTTCTGTTTCCTCAGTCTTAAACCATACAGAATGGACAAGTCGTTAGCACTCCCCCTACCACATTGGGGTTCGTTTGGTTCTTTTGTGGCTAGGTGTGAATGTGGTTTCATCTTCCTGGGAAGACTTCTTAGGACTGAATTGTAAACAGGTGATGAGAGAGGTGATGGCTCAGACCTCCGCCTCTGTTGAATGATGGTCTTTCCATTTTGACATAGATGGCTTCTTTCACTCCTCTCTCAAACCATCTGTCCTCCCTGGCCAAAATCTGGACATTATTGTCTTCAAAGGAGTGCCCTTTGTCCTTAAGATGCAGGTGGACTGCTGAGTCCTGTCCTGAGGAGCTGCTCTTCTGTACTGAGCCACGTGTTTGTGCAGTGGTGGTTTTGTCTCCCAGATGTACAGGTCTGGGCATTCCTCGCAACACTGGACTGCGTACACCACGTTGCTTTGCTTATGCCTTAGAGTGGACCAGTTTCTGTCTCAGCGAGTTGGTGGGCTTGAAGTGCATCGGAATGTTGTGTTTGTCCACCTAACAAACCCCATTGTGGCAGGGGGCGTACTAACGACCTTCCAGCCCTCTTCACGACAATGGTCTGGTACAATGCCCACATTGCTGCTGACGCTGCCCCAATCTGTATGTGTCCATCTCCCCTCCATTTTTGAACACGATCCTGACATACTTAAACTCCTTCATTTGAGGCAGCAACTCACCCCCAACCCAGAGGAAGCAATCCACCAGCTTCCAGCAGAGAACCATGGTCTTAGATTTGGAGGTGTTGACTCTGAACCTTTTCACTCAGCTGCAGACTGCCCCAGTGTGAGCTGAAGGTGTTGGGTTGAAGAAGTCAGTGAAACCATGTCATCTATGAAAAGCAGAGACAAGACATCATCCTTACCTGGGCTGACAGTACTTACAGTCATATAGCCATAATCTATCCAGTAAATGTTCTTTTAACCATTGAACCATTTTCCCAACACAACTCAGTTTTAGAATCAACACAAAGATGACCTCGATAGAAAACACACTAGCATCAAATAATTTTCAAATAAATTGCAGATTTGGTTGTAACTAGGAAGGAAAAATATATTGTATGCATTGACCGGATTATTTTTTTGTCTGAATGGTTTGGAAGATCTTTAATGATTTTTCAAAAGTATCATCAACAATTTAAAAAGATCAAGGTTTTATATCAACTTTTAAAGCAATCAGTTTCTGTCTGTGTGTTCCAAATTTAAAACGTGGGGCAGAAATTAGTGCTATTGTACCACCCTTTTTAACTAGGTGATTTCATCTTAGGAAACATTTATGCCACACATTACAACATGGTAATAGTCCGAGTCTGAGTTGTTTACAAAATGAATCCCATTAGTATTAACTTTACACACTATAATAAGCAGCATTAGCTAATTATAGCCAATTAATGCTACCAAAAATTAAACAGAAGTAACAAGTTGATGTAATACCATATGTGTAATACCTCCGGGCTCCGGATGACACGTAAATTTCCAGACTGTCCGTGAAAGCAGCATCGAGTGAACCAGCCAGCAGGAGCAGTCGAGAGCGGAGATCATTAGGGAGCGAGCACAGCTTCCTGGATGGAAACGAAACGCAGGAGCAAAGCCGACACACAGCAGGACACACACACACAGGCCAGACAGCAGCGAGCAGGACGGTTAAACATGTCTTTAGTTTTTCTCTGAGCTCGGTGCGGCTGTTAGAAAGGGGCTATCGGTGTGTCCGCAGCGGCGTTAGGCGTTGACAGCAGGTTATTATTCCAGCAGACCGTATCAACACATGTGTCTGTGCCACAGTAATAAGAGCACTGCGGCTGTGCATCTGGACTCAGGCTGCTCCTACACCCAGCGGTCCACAGGCAAGGTAGGTCCCCCACCTTTTGTGGCTTTTGTCTGCATCACCGTGGACCATCCATCACCCAGGCTCTTTATGAAATCACTATCATAAGGTGAACGCGTCAGAATTTTAAATGTTGACCTATGCGAGTGTGCAACCTTGAGGGGGATGCAGATGTGTCAGATTGTATGTGTGGTGTAGTTGAATGCACTGCAACAGATTCGATTTTTAGTGGGTAATAGATATGCATATGTCACAGCACCCTGGGACTCTAACTACACATTTAAATCACACCTGTCTAATTAAATCTCCACCACAGTTATTGTCTTATGTGCATTAGATCAAAACTTAGATTTCCAAGTGTTTCAACTTTCTATGCTCAAAAAACAGAAACTGGCTATTAGGCTGGAAGTCCTTAGAGCCAGATAGGCAGACAGGGAGTGAGTGCAGCTGTACAAATGATGCCATATGAATTCTGCTACACACTTCCCCAAGCACACACTCCCAGCTGCCTCCCTCCACAACACAGCAGTAGTCTGTATAAAAGTGGCAGCAGCTTTTCACCGGGCAGAACTGGTTTTCCGTTCTGCCTCTCCGGTCAACAATGATGCTTTGATGCCCTCCACCCCAGCCCACCCCAGCCCACCCCACCCCCAGCCCGGGACTGGAATGCCACCTAGACCTTGATCCGTGAGGACTGCTAATCATCAGATGGTCAGCTCCACACCTAAAAAGAAACTGTTACCACACAAGGGCATTTTGATTAACATGTTGCTCCAACAGTGGAGGTTACAGGGTATTTGTGGGCTTTTTGGGGGCAGGGACGGATGTGTTTCAATTTAAAATTCTGGTTGTTAGGAGTTTGTGTTGACATTTAATTTGTTTAGTTTCACTCTTTTATGCAAACATTAAGGGTGGAAATGCTTCTGAAGCAGCTTTCTAACGACGTTCTAATCCTCAAACTTAAATCTGATCGCTGGGTTGCACTGCAATCAGATAGCTGTGATGTATTTATGAGGTCTGCAGTTCACAGTCTATCAAACTACCTCATAGCTGTCATGCAAAGGTGTTCAATAGTGGTTGGTCATTGTAACACACACACACTTCTTCCAGTCTGATCTGTTGACAAATGGTTACCCAGGTAATCTCAAGTTCGTCTAAACTTTGAAGTTGCCCAGGGATGAAAGCGATGCTCTGTTATTAATTACACGTTGGAGTTTCCATGGAGGAAAGCGAGCACGCAAGAAAGCTGTTATTTTCCCATGTAAAACCACAGGGTTGGTTATGCTCAGGCAGGACAGGACAGGCTGACAGCCCTGTGGGATGATGACTGCAGCCGGCTCAGCTCGCCTGTCTGAAAGTAGTGCAGGGGGATAGACTATGACTGTGCAGAAATAGCAACGTGAGCTGCTCCATAACCTCAACAAGCACTACTGTCAGTGATCCGCATGTATGCCGCCGCTGATCGATAGCACATTATAAACGAGCCCTCAGTGAAAAATTCAGGCCACTGCTGGTGATGGTGGCTGCATTGATTGAGTTGCTCCAAAGTTTCCTGCCAACTTTAACAGTCTGCTGAAATAGAGAACATTGTGTGTGGGATAATGTGTGATTTCAACAGTCGCTCAGGCTTCACAGTGTGTTTTTAACACTGCAGTTTCCTGTGTGACCCTGTTCGGTGTCCAACCACTGTTACCCGCAGGATTAATCGCAAATCCCAGATTATGGCGTTGTTATTTCTTATGCTTTTTGGGACTGGACAGAACCAAAGGGCTGACGTTGGGTTTAGTAACTTTGGCTCCCTTTACCACCAGGTTAGTTTTTTATTATCCACCAACATGTGTCCTGCTGTTTCAAAATTTGTAACTAGTGCGTTACATCTGATAAGCAACGAGGAAGTCACTTAAAATTTGTGCATAATGCTGTAGTTGAAGAGATGTTTGTTCTTCCACAAAGGTCCCGACTGAAGTATGTTCCAATAATGATTGAAAGTCTTGCCTTGAGAGTCTGTACAGATATTTATAGTTACATAGCTTTTTTTTTGCATGTAAAAGGCCTGCAAACTTGCAAAACCACAAGTGTACTCCAAAGGGTGTTATTATGTATCATAGAAAACACTGCTCCTTACCTGCCTTCCTGAACCTTGATAAATAGGCTGAAATGGTAAAATTCAATTCTGTTTTGACATCATTTGCTCAACCAGTATTTCAACCTTTTGTTGCCACTCAAGCCTTTTGACCATGTTTTTATAAATTACGTGAACATCAACCATCAATCAATCGTCCAGTCAAAAAGAACAAGGATCTGTTCGATAACTGTGGGCTTGGCAAACACAGACCTTGGACTTTAGCCTTAAAAGTGACATCCATACATAAAGAGACAACAAAGGATGATGTTGAGGAGTCAGTATTATGCAGTAATTACAATTACGGTTTGCTTTATGCGCCACGCAGGTTTAAACAGTGACTAATTCATCCGTCAATGAGCAAGACAATCGCTGTGTGTTGATGCAGGGAGTTGGTACGCCAGTTTTCAGAAGGAGTTTCCAGAAACTAGGTGCAGTGTTGTCCAAAGGGGAAGGGAAAGCAGAGTTACGCCCACACTGAACAGACAAATACAATAGTGCTTCTTCTGCTTTTAGGAACATGGAGGCTGAAGCTCCCCTCCATCCCCAGCAGAAGGGCTAGGAGCAGCCTGATTTCTCCATATTTCCCTCCCTGCCTGCTCGCTTCACCTCATCATGGCCAGCAGGAGTGCCACCCCGAGCCACCGGGAAGCCAGGGATTCGGCACTGGAGACATCTGAGGCTGCCGCTGACCCCCAGCCAGGGCCCGATGTCTTCTGCAAGCTGTGCCTCAGTGAGCAGCCATCTGCAGCCACCAAGGAACTGCAGAGCTGCAAGTGCATTTTCTGCACCGCGGTATGTAGAGATGTCCAGTTTATTCAAGTCACAGTACTTATATTAGATAATGCTCATATCCAGGTGTTTGTTTGAGCAGTTTAGGACACATGAACTATTATGGCATTCAAACCTGTGAACTGTTAGAGCTGAAACAGAATAATGTGTCTTAAGACTACATTCAGAGTTGTATTGCTCAAACTTTTTAGTCATTTTCTATAGACAGAGAAGATTTCACAGAAGTAATCTAACACCAGACTTTGTCATTTGGTCAATTTAGGCAAATGCCCAACGTTTAAATTACTTGGAATGGGATGGTCTCTTTTATTGCAGCACTGCTCCCACTCCCACTTTAAGGCCTTAAAATAGATCCTCTTATGAGTAAGGCTTGCATATTTCCATTTCAGTGTAATCAAGTGGTTTCAACAGAGGAGTGGCATTCTCTCACATTTAGTCTCTTTGAGTTGTCCTTGGAATTTTTTTGTGATTTATCAGAGGTGTTGACAGTTTCTTAACAACTGACAAACATGACCTGAGTTTCAATTTCAGTCCTTTTATGAGAACAGAAGCGCTATCTTTAGAATACAGAGCTGTATTATTTATAACCAGAGTACAGAGGTCTGTTTGCTGCTGCACTGTTCTCATCTAATGCGTTCCTGCCTGGCATATCAAAACTGAGCGGATTCCAGATAGTGGCAGGTGTTAATCTCTGTCCAAGCTAGCTAAGTTGTCAGCGCTGCACGCACAAGGTCACACAGATAAAGCATAACGCACATACGCAGCAGAGGAACGAGGGACACGGATACCGTAAACGCTGCTTGTCTAAGCTGTGTGAATCTGAAACAACTTGTCTCGTGTGGTTGAAGACAACACACTGTTGCTTGTGTTTTGATATGGTCGATTCTGCTTGCGAAATGAGAACACAGATGATGAGCACACGTTTGCACATTCCTCACTTCTGCCATAGATTTGTTGTCTTCTTCAACAGAACAGTGATATTTAAATGATTTTCTGTTCCTCAAAACTGTCTGCCTTTGCGCAATGTTTACTTAGTTCCTTCTACCTTTCCAGATTTCATGGTTGTGGCAACATATGACTTTTGACGTGTGAGTGTTGATAAGAAACTTGTGTTAATGGGAAAAGTAGATTGCCCTGTTTTCACAACAGCTCTTTCCTCTCGTTGCATATTACACTGTCACAAACATGTTGTTGTATGTGTTGTGTATTATTTTGTATCCAGGATAGGCAGTAAAGATAAACTTCTGCCTAGCAAGGCAAGATATTTTTGCATTGTGCATTGTGGTATGGTTCTCACTGTTTCATTAAATTTCAAGTCTAATGTTGCTGTTTTGTTCTTTCCTGTCCAGTGTTTGCAGCAGTATGTTCAGCTAGCCATAATGGAGGGTGGGGGTGCACCTATCACCTGCCCAGATATGGCGTGCCAAAAGACTGGAGTGCTACTAGACTCTGAGGTATGCCCTGTTTAAAACCAATCATATGTAAGTCATGAGAGAAACCTAAAAAAGCAAAAAAAAAGTTTTAGTTGAGGTAAAACACAAATATCGCATTTGTGTTTTACCTCAACTAAAACTTTTTTTTGCTTTTTTGATGTGCAGACATGCAATAAACTGCAAACAGTGTCTGATTTTTGTTGCAAAACGTTCCTGGCATTTTGAAGTTGCTGGTTTTAGCAGTTTGTTTCCAGTCCTGAGTGCTGCAACCATACTTCTGCTGAAACTTGAAGTGGGATTTTCACCCTTGTGATTTTACAGTTGTGTGGGCAGGATTAAGGGTTGTGTAAACCCTGCTTGTGAGGAAAGTCAAGTGCAGTAAAGTGATACCACACAGTAAACACCACAATAAGGAAGCTACATCTGCTGACTTGCAAAGAAATGGAAATTCTTCTGTAATCTTTTTTCTCATCTAAGTATGTCTACATTAAAACACCCAAAGATATTGCAACCAACCCCTATTTTCTCTCAGGGGCTAGTCACTACTCGCTAAGGTGTGTTCGAAAATATGCACCAAAATGCAGTTGCTAGGTGACCATCTTATCCAAGATGATCTGAAGTATTGTCTTCTCAGCAGCAACACAAAATAGCTTCACTTTCATTTTGAACACGAGGTGTTTTTGTGGTTTGAAAAGCATTCTGGGTTTTGCAAACTTCACCATAAGCCTCATGAAGTTGAATACTGAGTGAATGGAGCATGACTAAAGCCCCTCCTGTGCTCTGTGATTGCAGATATCTAGTTTGGCTGCAGCAGATCAGGCGGAGCTGTATCAACGTCTGAAGTTTGAGAGAGGTAGGTACTGTTGCATTAGCATACTGATGGCTCATGACAGGCAGTGGGCTATTTCAGGTCACACAAGCAGCCCCACTGAGTGTTGAGCTTCACATGCCTGGGATATTGTGGGGCCTGCTCCCTTTTTTTCTTTTTCTGCTCTGGTCCGCTTACGCCCGAGGTTACTGGAACACTGGCTTTATTACTCATAGTTGAACTGAAGATAGCCAGCAGCATATAGCAATAATCAGAACAGCAAACACTACAATGTTACCATTTTGACAAATCGGAAGTAATGAGATTTTCAGTGCAAATAAATTATGTGACCTATGTGTAACTAATTGCACCATAAGTTGTGGAAATGTTTGTGAAGGCAAATAGTATCTCTGCTCTGCACTAGAGGCCTGTGAGTAGAGAGAATGTTGAAATAGCTTTCTGTTGACATTTATAAATTGCAAACTGAGGTTAGTTTGCCTTGCAGCTACACTGGTCTTTTCCAGTTGCACAGTAACAATACGCTGTGAAGCCAATAATAGTTATTGTTTACTGTAGCCATAAATCATAAGACTCATATTATTGGAAGTATAAAGAAGTGCAAAGTACAGGCTGTTTTGCAACAGTGTTTCCCTTCAGTTATGATTCACAATGAAAGTAGGAGCTGGTAAAGCGTCTGAGTCAGCTCACAACGGCTGTTTTTTGTTTGGTTGTGACAATTCAGATTGGATTTTTTTTTTTTTTTTTTTAAATCCACTTTTATATTTTTTTTTTTTTTTTTTTTTAAATCCACTTTTATATTATGAATCTTATTCTTTAGAGACCATACAAATCCTTTAGGAAAATTGTTTGCATTTTAAGATACCCATTTATAAAGAAGAAGAATGCATTTGTTAGATGTTCTAATCTTGCTGTAGTGCTGTGGTTTGGGACATTACCATCAGTATTGGCTGCACATAGCAGCAAATGCTCGCGAGCCGATGAGGAACATGATAAATGCTAACAGCCTAACATTGCGATATCAGTGTGAGCAATAAACAGGAACTTACTGAGCATCTGGCACTGTTCTGGTTGGTAGCCTGTGTTTTGCTATCTGTTTTCTACATCTGTTGTTGTCTGACGTAAATTTTCCAGTCATGTTTGGGCTTGAAACTGATTGTCCTCATTGCCAGTTACAGTGTTGAATGCATCGTATTCTGCATTCAATTTACAATTTACACTTCTGCTTAAGATTCAGTCAGCTGAAGAGGGCATCAAAGCTGCTGCTGATTGATTATGGGTTATTGAAGCTAAAACTAATATCCCACTGAAAAACTCTTTTACTAGAAATACCACATGATGCTCTCAACTCGTGAGTGCTGATCACTTGATAATGAAAAATGTAGCCTATATAAAAAATTATCTAACCTTAAGCGGTTGTAAATTTAAGTCCTTTCCGGTTATCCTTCAAAATCTTTTGTGAATAATATTTTCTTGCCTGTATAAATGTATTTATGGGGGTGGTGCAGATACAGATCGGAAACATAAGGTAAAATCCAGTTTATTTGTCTTATAATTCAGCTTAGTTTAGGAATTAGCATCCTCCAAGAAATTTTCTAACCACTTCCCTGTTTTGTTCCCCCTCAGAAGTGAAGCTGGACCCCAGTAAAGCCTGGTGCCCGGTGCTTGAATGCCAGGCAGTGTGCAGTGTGCAGCCGAGCACCGAGGGCCAACCCGCCGCCGTGCCCTGCCCATCCTGTCGCGCTGTCTTCTGCTCTGGCTGCAGAGGGCCGTGGCAGGACGGCCACACCTGCCCCGAGCGCCAGCCAATCATGTTGTCCTCACCCTCTCATGAAAGCAGGTCAGTCAGCTGGCAGTTTGCTCAGCTGCCCACTGCCTCCAGCCGCAGAGCTGCATGTTGAAAACGATACTGTTCTAAAAGCAAGAGGAGTGTGTTAGATTTGGGAGCTAAGGGATCTACAAAGACACATCCATCCATCCATCCATTATCTACACACCGCTTAATCCTCAGGGTCGCAGGGCGGCTGGAGCCTATACAAAGACACATTTGATACTGATATAAACAAACATATTTATTCTTTTTTTAAAAAAAACATATGGTGTGCATTAATTTTGCTGTCAATTGCATTATTTTATGAGGAAAGTCCCATCCCTCCGGTTCATATAAAGACGTGATGGTAGGGTATTTACAGCACATTGAATGGATTGTTGAAGTGATGTGTAGTTCCTCATCCCCCAGTAGAGACTTTATGCTGAATAAAAACATTATTTCAGGATTAATAGCTTAGTATTCCTCAGCAGTGCCCTCTGTGTAGTCCCTGTTGTACAGCTACATTACTGTGCTGCTCTGAGCTGTGGTGCTGCCAGACTGACTGATGTCATTGGGGAGCCACTGAGTTATATTGGAATTCCATTGTCTCAGTGCCAAAGGGAGGAGGAGGATGGGCACCGAGCCAGTTAGTTCACTGTACAGCAAGGGAATGTGCACTGCAGTGAAGCAGTGGTCTCTGCAGTGTGCTATGAAGGATGGAGCAGTGGATGAAGAGAGTGAGGGGATATCAATATTAGATTTGAATTTTTGAGAGCAAAATATCCATTTGCCTCAACCACCAGAGCTGTCTGGCTGTGTTTTTGCAACAGCAGTATAGTCAGGATTCTAAAAATACTGCAGAAGTCCTGCGGGGCAATTCACTCTGCATTTTCAGTTTATTTGTACATTTAAGTTTCACTTGTTTCTATAACTTTGATTTCCCTGCATAATGCTCCGTTTGCTGTTGCAAAGGTCGCCCCATATGCACATTTCATTGCCTTTTCACTTTCTTCAATTTTTCATTCCGACACTGTGCTCGAGTTTGTCGCTTTCTGTTTTATGAGATCATTTATTGTTTTTGCAGTAGCAAGTAGCAATGATAAGCAGTTGCCGTGGTCACTTAACATAATGTTAATGTTGGCAAAAAAGAATGTCCTAATTCAAGAATGTCAATTTACAACTATCTGTGTAGGTTTGTGGAGTTCATCCACGCTTATCTCCATTTTCGTGCTACTTTTCTAGCTTTGGCAATGGCAGGTGGTGTCGGTAGTCCTGCCTTCAGAAGCTTTGACGGGCTCAGGGAAACAGCCTTCAACAAGCACTAATCTATAGTAATGGCTAATAAATTTGGAGCTGTGGCTAATGCTTTATAGATCTGCAACCAGGCTAGCTCCACACAGAAAAAGAAGGTCACATTTAAAGTTGCTCTAATCAATGCTTTTATATTGGAAATTGCTGATATATACAAAACCAGGAAACACTCGTAGTGAGGAGAAGAAGAGAATTCACAAGTTGATCACCTGACTCTTTAGTTCCCCTTAACTACCCCAAACAGATCCGTTTAGTCTCATTGTTTTGTGCAATACCTAAACTCTGTGGTCGTGTGTTTACTGTTTTGGTTCAGTCTCACAGCTCTCATAATAATTCCCAGCTGCAACAGGCAGCTGTTTTCAACAAGACAGCTCTTTTAAACCTACCACACACCACCAGCCTAAAAGAAGAGTAAATATTAGACTTACATTCATTCAGTGATCCAAAACACTCGAGCTGCTTGCTAATATTGCTTATTATATGTGTTAATGTGTAAATAGCCAACCAACCTCAACCCTTAGCCTTAACAGCTTCATAAGGTGATAATAGTGTATGTCACTATTTGTGTTCAGAGCTTTTATGCTGGCCAAATACTCAATTAATTCAAGTTTAAAGACAATGACTTTAAAATCATCTCAATCAGCCTTGTGTAATTTGTTTGGAATTGTGGGTCGCTTCATAGGGGTATTAAAACCTCCAACCATGGCTTTGAGGTCAATGGTGGATAGAGCCTTGCGTTGTACTTGGAGAACGCTTCTCTCATACCTTTGTTTCCCAAAATAATTAACCCAGTTCAAAGTGAGCACTGACCCTTCACACTACTGCTAAAAAAAGAGTTCACACATTGCCTGGAAACTCCTGAGGCCGTCATGGCTTCATACTCCAACGTGCTCCCATTAATGGCATTCCTAATGTGTCTTTCTCCAGGGCCCACTCCGACAGTGACTCCGATGTGCCCATCAAGCAGTGTCCTATGTGTGGTATCTACATCGAGAGGAATCAGGGCTGTGCACAGATGTTGTGTAAGAGCTGCAAACACACCTTCTGCTGGTACTGCCTGCAGAACCTGGATGTGAGTCTCCCCTGATACCTAACCCACAGATGTGATTCATTGGGTTGAACACAAGTTGAAAAATAACTAGACCTAATGTGTGTGTCTATGTGTATGTGTTTAAATGCAGGGGGATATCTTCCTGAGACATTATGATAAGGGGCCGTGCAGAAACAAGCTGGGACACTCCAGGGCCTCGGTTATGTGGAACAGAACGCAGGTGAGGCCATTTACAGACAGCAGAGCAGACATACAGCATTAATTTCAGGCTAGTGACGCTGTCATTGTCTGAATGGATTAGCCTACTGAGCCACCCATCCGCAAGGGCCAGGCTATCGCATGCATGGGTTTAATTTTAGTGTAACTGTGCCATCACACCACCAGGATTGGCCGTCTTCCCAGCTCCACTTTTAGGTAGTAACACCCACCAGTGAAATTACAGGAATCAGTCCTGGATAGTAAGATATCAATGGCATGTTTCACTTTATTCAGAATTTTTTTTAAAAATGATATCAGTGTGTAACTTAACTCTTATTTACCATCAGACACAGCAAACATTTAGCTTCCTCTGTTTATCATCTTCTACATTCATTATTAAAGTTCCCCTTAATGACTGTAAAATCTGTGCTAGCTTGCTGCCTGTGGTTTTTTTTTTTCCACCAGTGTGACCAGAAGTTCCTTTATCAGACTTTAAACTGAACTAGTTCCAGCACTAATCTCCTGCCCTGCAATGACGTCATCTATTCAACAACATGATTACAACTGGCTGCCAAACCTACTTTGTTTCTGCTTTTCCCTGCTCTGATACCATTATCACATGATTAGCATTAAGTTTGCTGTGAACCTCCTGATTGCGTCTCAGTGTGTACACGTTGCTAAGTGTCTGGAGAGTTGAAGTACAACAGCACAGCTGTTTCTTGCCAAACAACACATGACAGACGGGGTTACACCCTTGCCTAACAGGTCTGTTTGCCACTAATTCCTTTTGCCACAGTGACATGCTTTACTTTTTGTACAAAATGTCTCATTTCATCTGTGTGTTATTAGTTTCAGCTGAAAGCTACACATATATTTATACTTTTTCAGCTGTAAAGCAACACCAACCCATACCATAAAAATACAGTATTACAAGACACATTGTAGAACTTTATTTATCATAAAGTCCAGTGCAGAAGTGGCTGGAAGGTGCCTGTCCTCTCAGCGACATTTGCAGACAGTAATAAGAATAAGCGATGGAAAGGTATGTCTGTATTAAAGTTCTATATGAACCAAGAATAACTTAATATATGGACCACTTTGATGTTTATGTTTTGCCAACCCTAAGTACTTCTCTAATTTAAAGTGCCAAAAAAACAAAAAAACAAAACAAACAAAAAAAACTTTTTGGGGAAGAAGCAAATGCTGTAAACAGTGACATTATATCACCTGATGAAGCACGGGTACTGGACAGTTGCTTTGTTTCGCATTCAAACGACACAGAGCAAAGTTAGAGTTCATTAGGAGTCCTGTCTCTGTCTGTCTGATGGATGAAAGTTAAATATTCACTTTTGCTTCTATTTTGGTTCAGCACCTGAGAAATATGTGTGTCTCTTTAGGTGCTAAATGCTCAGCATTGTTCACCAGCTAGTTGCAACATTTCTCTGTTTACTGTTTAGTCCAGAGTAGCTGATGTACAGAGGGTTTATGTCAGAACTCAATCAAAACCAGTAAGCAGAAAGATGCTTTATAGTCACTAGGAGCGACTCCTTTTCACTTTAACACTGTCACTTGTGTCCAAGTATTGATGGGTGCTTTAAACATGTTGCGATGTTGTCTCTCAGGTGGTGGGTATCCTGGTGGGAGTCAGCATCATTGTGCTGGTGACGTCTCCTCTCCTGCTGCTGGCATCGCCCTTCATCCTTTGCTGCGTGTGCAAGCCCTGCAGAGGGAAGAAGAAGAAGAAGAGGAAGAAGGACCTCAGCCAGCCAGACTCCTCCACATCATAGCAGCTCCCGCTCTCATCTGCCTGCCCAGGATCATGCCACTAACCTCATGAAAGCCAAGACAAGTGCACTGCATGGTGGAAAAGAAAATGACTTAAGGAACAATGGGGCACTTTTTTTATTTCTCGACAGGCTGGAACTGCAAGTGGGTCATCCGGATGAACAAGTACAGACTTTTATATGAAGCCTCAGTGAGACGGCTGCTCAGAAATCACTCTTGAATTGCAAGAGTATGTACTTCATCCGATGGAAGTGTATATATGTGGAGAATGAATGTAAGTCGCTCGCCTAGCTAGTTTTCAGAGGCACAACAGATACTAAGTAGAAATCGGTGGCTGTGAGAGTTTTTCCTGCACAGGGCTTTCTCTCTCTAACATACACACACACACACGCAGTTCAAAGTGCAACGCCACCCTCATGTGCCAAACGTCATGATGCCAAACCAGAGGTGTTAGGTGCTCAAGTGCCTCGCTCTACAGTGCCTGGTGCTTGGTTCAATTTGTTTTGCCTTCCATTCTATCTTTATCTTATGCAAAAAATTTTAGCATAATGAAAACGGACTGTCAGGATCACACAGGGTTGTATATCCCGAAACAATGCAAAACATTCTTCGATAATGGGAGAAGGCAAACGGCATCACGTGTGCACTGTTGATTCTGTACTGATATGAAACACGATAGGGCTGCAATGGTGCACAGAGAACTCTTCCTCTGCGAATGTTTGTTGTCTCCACCTGGCGTATGTTCCAGACCAAAGGCTCTAAAGGATAATGTGTACTTTTCTAAAGTGTGTTAATATGTATTTATGGGCTATGTGTGTATGGTATCATTTCTACGTTTCTGTTGATGTTTCTGCATCAGATATTTTCTAAAAGCGCCATTGTAAATGAAAATAAACATAATGTATTGAACATGCATCCGATGGTGCAGTTTGCCAGTGATATGTTTCATTTCAGGATACAGATGTAAAGATGTGCTGCATATTGGATAACAGTTTGTACATAATATACTGAAATATATGGACATAACCTTTTTGTTTGGCACACACCAGTATTTTTAGTGCTTATAATTAACTTCATATACTGGGGGACTGAAATGATGAATGGAAACAGATGCATTCAGTGTCTTTATTTAATCCAAATTATACAGCCAGTTTAAGGCAAAAAACTTTATATTAGGAGATGTTCATCAAACTGATGCTCTTGTGGTCATTGGCATTATTATTTCCCATCAAGAAGCTCAAGCCCACGAACTGGTCTCGTTTTAGATGAGCATGATTGCGACAATCGATGCCTCATGTATGCTGTGTAACACTGGCCTACATAAATACTGACCAGCACATGACTGTGTGATTGATTAGAGAGATACATGGACATTCACTACATAATGCTTAAGTGCCACATGTGTGAGATTTCCTTCATGGGATGGCAGTTAAATGAACGCAAACAACTTCATTTTCACTCATGCAAATGTTACCTCCACTGTTGAAACGAGGTCAGTGTGATTTTAAAGGGATTTAGCGACGCCTTGTGGCCAAAGAAGGAACTGTTTCTTTTGCAGCAGCACAGGAAGGACGTGGACTAAATCGTGCTTGCAGGAACTGTAAAAGTTTGGACCCAGAAATGGCAGCACAGGAGGAATTCTTTGCAGGTAAATGAGAGAGTGGCAATGCTCAAAAGTGTCAGTAAGTTATAGACTGTGAGCTGTGTGTGTCTGTGTGGACACAAAGCGTCCTGTTTGTGCAGCGTGCCGTGAACAACGAGGCGAACAACAGTTTGTCCAAACACATAGTTTAATAGAGCAAACAACACTGAAACTGTTGCAGCAGTCTGTAGTCTGACAGTACAGTAGTGTGTGTGTACTGATTCTATCAAACATATCTCTGCTTTATCATTCGATCTTTACTTTCGATCAGATTGCGTTTTGTTTCCTGACACTACATTTCCCATGAGCCACATGGTTGAAGAAGTTCTGAATGTTTCCACCTTTGTTAAATATTGCTCCCCATGTTGCACAGGTATTCCCAGTAAGATCCAGTATACACCAGGTGCTGGACCCAGAGATGTCATGTGCTTTAAGCACTACAATGCAGAAGAGGTAAGAGTCACAAAGGACTCCCAGATTGATTTCATGCCATCTGAGTCAATTTGATTTATTGTTTATTGAACCACGTATTTCAGCAATGAGGGCTTCACCAAGGGACTCTCTGACAAAATCTATTTTTTAACCATACCTGTTTTACTGTTATACTTTTTTATATGCAGTTGTTTTGTTGTGGAATATTTCACATGTATCATGTGGACCCAGGGGCCCTCTCAGGAGGTTTAGCCCTGTGCAGGCCTGCCTGTGTTCTTGTCATGGATTTGAATGCAGATGTAGAGTTGTGGAGGCTGTGCTCAGCGTTCCTCTGTGCAGGTGCTGATGGGGAGGACGATGGAGGACTGGCTGAGGTTCTCCGTCTGCTACTGGCACTCCTTCTGTGGCACTGGTACTGTAACATCTGAGCCAACACTCACACTGATCATCAAACAGTCTGTGGAGGCTCAGTGTTGGCCGACTTTGACTAACACTTGCTTCAGACCTCTTAAAATGTTTTCTAGCCATCACAAGAGTCGCTTGTTTTACTTCAGGTCTACACACGTCTCCTATGTAGCATTATCTTGTTTTCTGTTTGGTAGGTGCTGATCCTTTTGGTTTTCCAACCCTCCAGCGGCCCTGGAATGAAGGGACTCCTATGGAATCGGCTAAGAAGCGACTCCATGCTGCATTTGAATTTTTCACTAAGCTTGGGGTGAGGAGATTCGGCTGAATTTGAATACTGTGTAGCTGATTCAAATTGCTGTATTTATTTTTTGACATTTGCTTGTTTTCATAGGTGAAGTATTACACGTTTCATGACAGGTGAGTCACTTAAAGCAATTTGCTTCCACTACTACCTGACAAAGCTCTGAAAGACCAGAGAAGATAATGATACACTCAGAATGAGTTTACAGTTTAAAACTCAATGTGTAGACTGCAGATATCTGGACAGTTCCCCATTTTAACATGATTTGGCCAAAGTTCAAAAGTAATGGAACAAAATGATCTCAAATACTTTTTAGAGTAAAATCTCTGGCAGTCAAAGACAGTTGGAGGTCTTTGAATCACATACATCTACATACAGTTTCTTACTTCCTGCTGATGCTCCTGATGAGACTTTCAATACACACACCTTCAGCCCTTTCTGCAGCTTGGCACATTGACATTAGTTGAATGACTTGATCAGTTTGACTAGACTTCATCCTCTAATGGCAGTCCCACCAGGGACAACAAAACTCTGGACCTGCTGTATGCAAACACAGCAGATGCCTACAGTTCCTTTCCCCTTCCCCCCGCTTGGCCGCTCAGACCACAACCTGGTCCATCTGCTCCCTGCTTACACACCTATTGTGAAGAAGGAACCCCCGACCAAAAAGTGTGTGAAGCAGTGGTCTGATGAGGCCATTGAGGCACTCAAAGATGGTTTTAACACCACTGACTGGGAGGTGCTCTGTGAGCCACATGGACAGGACATTGACAGTTTAACGGACTGTATCACTGAATACATACATTTCTGTGTAGAGACCACTGTGCCCACCAGGAGGGTACGGTGTTTCTTAAACAACAAGTCATGGGTGACTCCTGAGCTGAGAGCCTTGCTGCTGGAGAAAAGGAGGGCTTTTAAGTCTGGTGACAGAGAAGAACTGAGGAGGGTACAGAGGGATCTCAAAAGAAAGATCAGAGAATGTAAGGCCAACTACAGGAAGAAAATGGAGGACCGGCTACAGAGCAACAACGCGAGACAGGTCTGGAGAGGACTTCAGACCATATCAGGGCAAGGCAAAGGCAAACAGAGGGACCCTGAACCTGGGGACAGTTAAACCTGTTTTTCAACAGATTTGATACTGGTCTCACCCCCTTCCCCTCCAGCCTGAGCACTGTCCTGTCTACCTCCAGCACCTCCAGCTTCCCTTCCCTAGTTGCCCCCCCCATCTTCTCCTCCTCTCCTCACACCAACAGTGGATCAGGTGAGAATGCAGCTTAAGAAGACCAGAGATTTCCGGTACTCCACGGACAGTTGTCATCTCCAGAAGTTCTCCGATGACTCTGCCATCATAGGATGCGTGTCACAGGGGAACGACTGTGAGTACAGGAAGGTCATCATGGACTTTGTCGACTGGTGTGAGCAGAACCACCGTCAATTGAACGCCAGCAAGATAAAGGAGGTGGTGATCGATTTCCACAGGAAACCCACACACACTCCACTGCTGAACATCCAGGGACTTGACATGGAGAGAGTGAGGACCTACAAGTACCTGGGTGTGAACCTAAACAACAAACTGGACCGGACGGATAACACTGACTCTCTGTATAAGAAGGGTCAGTGTCGCTTATACCTGCTGAGGAGACTTGCTTCTTTTGGTGTGTGCAGGCCACTGCTGAGGACGTTNAACACTGACTCTCTGTATAAGAAGGGTCAGTGTCGCTTATACCTGCTGAGGAGACTTGCTTCTTTTGGTGTGTGCAGGCCACTGCTGAGGACGTTCAATGAGACTGTGGTGGCATCAGTGGTCTCTTATGCAGTAGTGTGCTGGGGAGGGGGATGCTCTGAGCGTGATAAGAGCAGACTCAACAGACTGTTAAAAAGAGCCAGCTCAGTCTGTGGCTGCCCCCTGGACTCCACTGAGGTGGTGGGAGAGAGGAGGGCACTGGCCAAACTGTCTGCTATCATAGGAAACACCTCCCACCCTCTGCATCAGACTGTGAACTCCTTACGCAGTGCATTCAGCGACAGACTGTTACACCCAAAGTGTAAGAAGGAATGTTTCCGCAGGTCCTTCATCCCAACAACAGTCAGATTTTACAACGCTGCACTACAAACTCCACTGGTACCTCTGTTACTGCTGCACTTTTTCTTTTTTCCACCAACAAACACTTTCCACTATGTGCTATAANACACCTTCAGCCCTTTCTGCAGCTTGGCACATTGACATTAGTTGAATGACTTGATCAGTTTGACTAGACTTCATCCTCTAATGGCAGTCCCACCAAAAATCTGGACCTGCTGTATGCAAACACAGCAGATGCCTACAGTTCCTCCCCCCTCCCCCCGCTTGGCCGCTCAGACCACAACCTGGTCCATCTGTTCCCTGCTTACACACCTATTGTGAAGAAGGAACCTCCGACCAAAAAGTGTGTGAAGCAGTGGTCTGATGAGGCCATTGAGGCACTCAAAGATGGTTTTAACACCACCGACTGGGAGGTGCTCTGTGAGCCACATGGACAGGACATTGACAGTTTAACGGACTGTATCACTGAATACATACATTTCTGTGTGGAGACCACTGTGCCCACCAGGAGGGCACGGTGTTTCTTAAACAACAAGTCATGGGTGACTCCTGAGCTGAGAGCCTTGCTGCTGGAGAAAAGCAGGGCTTTTAAGTCTGGTGACAGAGAAGAACTGAGGAGGGTACAGAGGGATCTTAAAAGAAAGATCAGAGAATGTAAGGCCAACTACAGGAAGAAAATGGAGGACCGGCTACAGAACAACAACGCGAGACAGGTCTGGAGAGGACTCCAGACCATATCAGGGCAAGACAAAGGCAAACAGAGGAACCCTGAACCTGGGGACAGTTAAACCTGTTTTTCAACGATTTGATACTGGTCTCACCCCCTCCCCCTACAGCCTGAGCACTGTCCTGTCTACCTCCAGCACCTCCAGCTCCCCTTCCCTAGTTGCCCCCTCCCCCTCCTCACCTCCCTCACCACCGCCGCCGTCTCAGACCAGCTCTGTCAGGTGGTCTGCTACGTTTTCGACCTAAGCCTGAGACTGGAGAGAGTTCCTGCCAAGTGGAAGACGTCTTGTGTGGTCCCGGTCCCAAAGACCTCGTGTCCCAAGGAGCCCAACAATTTTAGACCCGTGGCCTTAACCTCCCATCTTATGAAGGCACTGGAGAGGATTGTCCTGAACCATCTTCGCCCCCTGGTGAGCCCAAACATGGATCCTCTGCTGTCCAGACCCCAGTATGTGAGGCTACAGAACTGTGTGTCTGATGTGTTGGTGCGCAGCACTCCTCAGGGCACAGTACTCTCACCTTTCCTCTTCACCCTTTACACATCAGATTTCCAGTACTCCACGGACAGTTGTCATCTCCAGAAGTTCTCTGCCATCATAGGATGCATGTCACAGGGGAACGACTGTGAGTACAGGAAGGTCATCATGGACTTTGTCGACTGGTGTGAGCAGAACCACCTTCAAATGAACGCCAGCAAGACAAATGAGATGGTAATCGATTTCCACAGGAAACCCGCACACACTCCCCCGCAGAACATCCAAGGACTTGACATCGAGAGAGTGAGGACCTACAAGTACCTGGGTGTTCACCTAAACAACAAACTGGTCTGGACAGACAACACTGACTCTCTGTATAAGAAGGGTCAGTGTCGCTTATACCTGCTGAGGAGACTTGCTTCTTTT